TGTTATTTTTAGATACCTGTATCTCATTCTCCGTGCCCTCTCTTATCTCTCGTCGTTCCTTATGTTCGGCGTCTTTTCTTGTTCTCATATATTCTCTACGTCCCCTAATCACATGTTCTACTCACTATATTTCGTGTCTGTTTTTCATTCTTCTCACGCTCTTTTCTCGTATGTTCTTCATAGTCTCTTTTCATATGATATCAGCTACCGTGTCCATTCACTGTGTCTTTTCACTTTGCAATATGTCATCCACTAGGTTATTAGGTAGTAGTTGGTACATCTCTAATCAGTATTTTTCTTTCATTCTGCTTTATTCGTTTCTTCTCACACGTGTCAAATATGTTTGGATTTTGCTACAGGCTAGAGAAAACTCACACTACCGTTTCTGGGTTTCTGAAAAATAGCAGGGCTGAGTCCACCCTGCTAAGAAATCCTGGCTACGCCGCTAACTATGATACGTCTAGATTGCAGCATCAATTTCAACTAATGCGTATGTGCCACTGTCTCGCTGCTTCTTATATGCGAAGTAAAAGAAGAAATAAAAAAGAAAGGACATTTAAAATACTCTAAATATTCCCGTGGCGCAACCAGAGATTTTTGATCATTGGGTCGAAATACAGCAGTGGCTCACACTGTAAAAATCCCAGAAAGTACTTGGTTAAAAAAGCTTTTTCAAAAACTTTAGCTTACTCAATCACAAATTTTTAAATCCTATCAGGCTAAATTAAATCTCATTGAGCCATGGCCCATCGATCTCCCCTCGTAGTTGCGTTACTGAAATATTCTGTGACTTTTAGGCAGACAGACGTTGCAAAAACAAAATTCTACATAAACAACCATAATAAACTAATTAAATAAACTATCAGTGCGGCACTGATTTTTGCCAGTGCGGTACTCTTTCAGCAGAAATATATTGGTACTGGTGCGCACGGGTGCCAGTCGGCACCTGCTGGGCACGGGTGCGCACCGGTGCCGAGCAGTGCCATGCGCACTGGAATTTTTTTTATAGGGTGTTTTTTTCATCGATTTGTGCCCGATTTCTTTTTAAAATAGAAAGAGAAGAAAATCACTGTTTTGTGCCCGGTTTTTTCACGACTATCTTGTGGAAATGATAAGAATGTATATAAGTAGATTCAATCGTACAAATGTCAATGTTGTATAAGAAACTTTTTTTTACAATTCGACTGAAGTAAAATTCAGTAACAAACCTTTGTCAGTATTCTTACCAGTTACTGAGAAAAAATGTTACTGGAATGTCCTAAATGGTTTTCGTACGTGTCCTTTTGTCAGTATTCAACAAGAAAAAGCCGCATGGAAATGGAAGAATGGTCTAGATAAGAATTTGATTTTGTACTGGTACGGACATACCCATGTTGTTCCATCATCATATTGTAAACAAGATACATCTAGTACTTGGCTACATGCTTATAACACAATGCCTTGGACTCAATTTGATGAGTTCTCATCATAGTTGTATGCTGGAAGATTGGTCACCATACATATGATGTGTTCATGCAAGATCAACTTGAAAACTTATATTTGCAAACATGCAGTTGGAATTATGATGCATTTTGGTTTTTATGTAGTATCGGATCCAGGAAAACTAGATGATTTACGTAAACGACGCGGACATCCAAAAAAGGCAATACTAGCTTTATGTCGCTAATACTGTCATGTTGTATATATGTAATTGGTTTTTCTGGTAGTACCCATTAAATACAGAGAGTCTCGCGAACAAACCGGGCACAAAACTCTTGTTTCTTGAAATTTCAATTAACCCTTGTAGTACCGGCCGGGGTCTTTTTTGACCCCATTCTCAAAAACTTGAAAATATGCTAAACATATTTTGTTGTTCCCCTGTTTTGAGTAGCAATTGGCATCCTCTACAAACAGATATACGTTGGTGAATCTAGAACGGAACACATCCTTTCTCCATACCACTACGATCTCTTGATAAAACACTATATCGTCAGTACGTATTAAAGAAGGGAGAAAAAAATGAAACTTTTAATGTCTAATACAATGAGTCATCCATTGATCTAAATGGATATATACTTTCGATCCATCGAAACATTTTTGGATTGATTATTTGGATGATCCAAACAGTGGTTTGGAAACGCGAGACGGTGAAAGTCAAACATCTGACGATGATGATGAAATTGATTTAGAAAATCTTAAATTAAATGATAATTCGACATGGAAAAGTTCATATAGTTCGAGCTCTGGAATGATCTGGTCTTCAATTCCTCATCGTCCAACGAAAATTGATTCTTCAAATGACACTATTGGAAAAACTGACCTTACAAATATCACTGAAGATATTTCATCCGTTGAAGATGCATTTATGTGTTTTATGCCAAAAATAATTCTAGAGAAAATTTTGATTTATCCAAACTTGGAGTTTACTCAGAAGAACGCTTCTAATGAAAGAACAGAAAAAATAACAATCATGGAATTGAAAGCTTTTATTGGACTTTTATTACTTGCCGGTTTGTTGGGAAAATCGAAGAAAGACCTGAAATGCTTATGGAGAAGAAGTCCATTAAAATCTCCAATATTCAAAGCCACCATGTCAAGAGGTCGTTTTCAAAATATTATTTCTTGTTTGAGATTTGATGATACAAAAACAAGAGAAGAAAGAAAGCAAACAGATAAATTTGCTCGATTAAATGTCTCACGCCAGTATTTCTCTATCTTATTTTTTTTCCAGATGAAACGAGGCACAAAGCGATGGCCACTTTGTATTGTTTATGGGATGATAGACATTGCTGCCATAAACGCTCTGATTGTCTGAAAGGCGAAAAATCCTCAATGGAATCAGAATAAAAAATATCAACGTCGATTATTTTTAGAAGAATTAGGATTGGCATTGGTATCACATCTGTTGGATTTTCGTTCGAAGAACTCGAAGTTTTTGAATACAGATATTCAAAATGCATTAGCCATTGTGGGTTATCCTGTGTCGAACAAGCATCCGTCAGAGTCAAATGAAGATTCTACTCAGCCAAAACGAAAAAGATGCTCGATTTGTGAACGTTCTGTGGACAAGAAAGTATCAACTCGATGTAGTAATTGTTCTTCATTCGTTTGTAATGAGCATTCTGTTAAACGTATCTTTTGTATTACTTGTTCTAAATAAAGAATATCGTTTTCATTTTTTTTCTATCAGGTTGAACAAGAAAACATCAGATCTTATCAAAATATTGATTAAAAAGTAAAAGGATTATTTTATAAAAACACATGTTGTCAGTATAACGGTTAAAAGAGGCCGGTACTACGAGGGTGAAAAATCGTAAACCGGGCACTAATCAATGCAACTGACGGGCACAAATATATGAAAAAGCCGGGCACAAGAAATAATTTTTCGCAAAACTGCATCATATCTAATAGAATTGTTTTAGTCATTATCTAGCTTTTATTCGTTTTCTTTTGTTCTGTTCTTATTCTCTGATCTATTGATAGTGGATCGGACAAAGCGCCGGTGATCTGCTGGTACCGATCACAGTTTTGTTGATCGGTTGCATCTCTGATACTCAGATGTGTCCTAGACTTTAAACGTTAACTATTATTTGATTCAGACATATATTTGAGCATGAGTAGACGGTAATGTGGAAAGACGACCTTGAGAAACTAACATCATCCTTTCTACTAAATACTCTCCGATTAACGTGCATCATAATTATGAAGAAATATAATCATAGAAATCTGTCACAAGGAAACAGTAGCTGAAACATTGTCAAGGAAGGTTCATCCTCACCCTGCTTGAGCCGATTTTCACTAAAATTGCTATAACACTGCAAAAATAATGATTATACTTGCCATCTTCAGATCATGCATTTTTGTATGAATTAAAGTAAAAATTTGTTCTTAATATTGCGTCACTTTCAGAAATAAATAAAACTAATATACAACCAATAAATTTCAACATTTAAGTCTTTAAATAGTTGTACTCGGCCATGTTTTAGGATTTTCATTAATACTAACTATAGGATGCTTTGGCCTTTCATTTTGTTCAATCAACAAATAATGATAGTTAAAAAAAAATATCAGTTGAGAGCACAGAGGGATCTTATGTGAATAAAGACGAATAGACTCAAGGTCAGTACTACAGAAGAAGCCCGTCTAAACTCTTATCATCAGATCGCAGCAATGGAATACGTTCTTGATTTTAGATTAGATCTGCGCTGTTCAACTTTTAAAATGATGAACATAAGAACAAACACTACAGAAATGAAACAATTTATGATTGGTCGAAAGTCGCCATAGCGAGCCTTTTACGATCACGATCAAGATGAATTGTTAAAGCATGTGTCATGGTCTCGGCGATTATGGTTTGTGCAGAAACTATATGATAGCAATAGTCTTTGATGGGCGATATTGACATTATTGGTTGTGAAAGTAAGTCCTTAACAAGCAAATGATTTCATGATGTACTTACCAATCGCTATTTGCACGTGTCTAACGTAACTTACACTTCTGGGCGCATCTAGGTAAATCGCGTGTAGCATATTATAACTACCTTTCGCTGCATATCCGACCGATTATTTCAAAAATACATCCTCAATCAATAATCGTATTATTTTTGGCTGTTTTAATTGCCATTTTAAGCATTTATTTCGATTTTTCTTGGCCACTTAGTTATTTAATTCTGAACTGGACGTTCACTAGTACAAACACTACTTTAACCAATAATAATTCTGAACAAATCTTAACATCATCCAGCAAAATGGTTAGTGTTACGACAAACGCTGGAATTCAAATGCCTCGTTTAATTTATGGCACAGCGTGGAAAAAAGAACGTACAAAAGATTTGGTTATCAAAGCCTTTTTAACTGGTTTTAGAGGCGTCGATACCGCTTGTCAGCCTAAGCATTACCAGGTATGTCAAAGATAGAATTACTCATTTCTTTTATTCACTTCAATCATTTGTAGTATCTGGATTTTTCTATCGATGGGTGTCTGAAACTTTCGAGTGCTAGCCTTTTTGAAATCTTTTTCTAAAACGCCAGATAGATGATAAAAATCCTGGACTGGACTATTCAGCTGGATCAAGATAAATTTCTATAGGATTACGAGACCCTTTATTTGAGTCACGATGAGTATTCTTTTATCATTCAAGGAAGAATTGGTTGGTGAGGCAGTGTCAATTCTTCAATCTCAATACAATATTGATCGTAGAGATATATTTATTCAAACCAAATTTACATCAGTAGACGGTCAAGATCCTAATCGTATTCCGTATGATCCAAAGGCAAATTTAGCCGATCAAGTTCGTCAATCATTTGCTCGTTCATTACAAAATCTACGAACTGATTATATTGATTCTCTTGTTCTTCATGGTCCCGAGCGTACCCACGATAAAACAATGATTGTTTGGCGTGTATGCGAAGAATTTTGTGCTGAAGGCAAAGTAAAACAATTGGGTATATCGAATTTATACGATTTACAACGTTTACAACAATTGTGGAACGATTCTAAAGTGAAACCATCGGTTATTCAAAATCGATTTTATGCCGATTCAGGATATGATGATGGTATAAGACGATTTTGTCGAGAAAAAAATATTTTCTATCAAAGTTTCTGGACATTGACAGCTAATCCACATTTATTAAATAGTTCGTTATTTAAAAAACTAGCATCATCAAGGAATGGTACCACTGAGCAAGTTTTATTTCGTTTGCTGATGGATTTGGGTCTGACACCATTAACGGGTACTACAAACGAGCAACATATGAAACAAGATTTAGATGTATTAAATTGGAAAAGTTTTTCTCCTGATGAAGTAAAACAATTTGAAGCGCTACTAAAATAAGAGAACATGTAATATAAATTTTTACTTGTATTATTCAGGCGGTTAACTATTGTTTGCATACATTTTGAATAGAACTTTCAGAATAAAAGACTGGTTTAGCAAGAAATTGCACATACTCTATGGAGAAATTTTGTCGAAATTTCACGATGTTGAGACCGTGCAATCACCAGAACTGATCTGATTTCTTGGCATAAACAATACATTTTGTTTTTGTTTTTGAAGTAGTAACAAAGCATAGGATATTATAGCAACATGACAACGGCAATTAAATTTACATATAACTGATGAAACTTGGTTCTTTTGTCTCTTAGACCGATACACATCGATATGATTTTTCAAAATTATTCCATTTTTTATCTATATTCGACATGTCATATAGTGGCGGACCATCATTACAAGATGACACTATAACAGACAGACATTCAAAGCGGCAAAGTGATTGGTCAAGATGAACATGGATATTTTTTTTTGATATCGAGAGACGCAATAGCCGCCACCTCTCTTGTCTAGAACAGAAGCCCGATGTTCAGTTTCTGACTTAAAAGACTATGGTTCTGTTTCTGCAACTGAATTTTAAGCAGCCACGATTTTAAGAAAGTCTTTGTGTACGTAAAACGTAGAAGTTAGTTGGAGAGAAATAAGATGATGCTTTTTTTTTGCACATGCGCTTTTGAATTTGAAAAAACATAATTGCTATAAAATATATGCATACGAGTAACCTCGTTCAAAGTCGTCATCAATCCGATTATGAGGATATTATTCTCCTTGATAGCCTGTGATTCGATCAAAAAACAGCGTCAAGTGTCGCCCGCAGAGAACAAATTATTGCAATAGATAGTCGATCAGAATTCACCTATAATATATTGATGTTCATAATAAACCTGAGATAAATTCTTGAGTCAGTACTGATAGCTCAATTAATGTATAAAACAGCCTAAAAATAAACTGTACATCTTGATTAAAATGAGAGGATGTACATTTCCATATTAGATTAGATGGTGCTACATTTTTTGATTTAGAACGGAAACCTTTCGTACCCGGATCAACTCTTAGTCCAAGATGAGCTCCAACAGAATATATCAACAGATAAGATTCTCGCACATCATCTCTGTTTTTCTTTCTTCTGATTCGCTTCTCTAGCAGAAATCTATGATGGTAACACTAGGATCGACGAAATTTTCCGGCAATATTAAAATGTTTGATTTTTTAAGATGTCATTTATCATCTTTCAAAAACTACATAAAAAAAATCGGGTCAAAATGAGACATCCAGATTTTAACAGATTTCTCACAAAAAATAGATACTGGAGTGATCAGATTAATTTTAATTCGTTGTACACAGTAAAAATAGTCGTGTTCTATAAGCCTTTAGAGAGCTCAAAAACGGTAAAAACCAGTAGAAAATTCTTCATTTGTCTCATATAGAGAACTGTTTTTCAGTCCTTCATGATTTCTTTCACTTTTCAGCAACTTGTATGTGCTCTCCGAAAAAACCTAAGAGGTGAATACGAGATTTTCTTTACAGTATAATGTGAAAACAACGTAACAGCTAGACTTTTAATTTTTGTTTATTATGTGATTCAAAATAGCATCTAATGTCATTAATAATCGAGCACCAATACTCCATGTTAATTTTAATAACTTATCGTCACGCTTGGCTATTTTGTCAAATGCATCTAAACTCAAGAGTTAATCTGATAATAATGTTAAATTCATCTATATTGGAAAGCATTTAATGATAATTCAATCTCAAATTATCTATAAATGTCGTCAGCAAAAATATTATGATACGCAAAAGCAAGATGGACAACACGAACCATTATTAACAGCCTCCACAACAATCGAATGCCAACCATTGATGTTACGACTTAACCCAATATTAATTCATTTCATAAACTTCGTATTTTTTCTCACAATGTCCAAAGTCTTCCCCAAAACCGTTTGTATGTACAAATCAGCATTTGTTATTCATGTTTACTCATCCTCTATCAATTTTTTACTGTGCAATGTCTATTGATCACAAACTGCATCCATTAATTTTTCTTGGTCTGTTGGATTCTCTTGTTGGTAAATATTAGAGTTTTCTCTTTTAGCGTATCTTTATGTTTTTCTTGATGTCGCATGTAGATATGTGTATGTCAGACATGAGGATACATATAGAAAAGAAAAGGTGATCTGTATGCGACATCAAGAAAAAGATCAGGATACGCTAAAAGAGAAAACTCTATTTATCTGTTTCTCCTTCTGGCGGTTTATGCGCTAATTTGAACTTAAACTTTCTTGATCCGAGTGATATGTACAAAGTCACCTCTCTCTCTGAAATTCTTTTCTTCGTTCTATTGTTGGTTTTTCGGTGATAACTATACATCATATGTTTATTGACTATATTTTCTACTTGTCTTCTTGACACTGTTTGTCTTTTTCTACACTACTGATACCTTCTATTGGTCGTTCATCCCATTTTTCTCTGTTCCACTGTCGATATTCCTGTTCCAACGTTGCCTAAACGTGTATCTTTTTGTTACAACTTTAAAAAAGCCTAGTAGACAGAGCTTAGTCGGACCTGTACGTCAGGCACATGTTCATAAATAAATAAAAACAAAACATAGGTCTATGAGATGGATGACTCATTGGTTAAAACAAATGGCCAATGAATAGCAAGTTGAAGCGCTAATTGTGGTTGATCAAGTACGGAAAAGTTGATCAAATGTGAAAGGCAACGTTTTAACGAACCGTCTGTTGACATAATTTGTGGATAGGAATGGAGTTATAATCACATCCAAGACAAGACGGCAGATACTAAAAAGGAAAAAACTATTTATATTACGTTGACACGTGACTTCAACGAGCACGATGCTCAAAGAAAACGAAAATACAAAATTAATTATTTTAAGAAAATCTCACGTTTTGTAAGCTAGGAAGAAAAGCGACGAGTATTTACTGGTGTTTGACCGTGACGTTTTGAATTAGCCTTTTACTTGGATGAGCTTGATTAATACGAGTTGTGGTCTGAGTGATTCTTTATTTTCTCTTTTGTCTTCTTACCTCTCTAACCGTTCCCAGTGTGTTCGTGTGCATAACTCTATCTCTTCTTCCTCTCCTGTTCCTTCTGGCGTTCCTCAAGGCAG